GTGTGTGTGTGTGTGTGTGTGTGTGTGTGTGTGTGTGTGTGTGTGTGTGTGTGTGTGTGTGTGTCCTCGGTCTGTGTGTGTGTGTGTGTGTGCGTCCTCGGTCTTTGAAGTGGGACAGATTGCTTTAACCTCTCTTCTAAGGAGAGCAGCTGGAATAGAGAGCTCCTTTAAGCAGCCGCTTCCTCCTTCGACAGTCATGAGATTATCCTCCATTGATGCACAAAGCCAGCACCTTCCTCCGCCTCTCATCCCAGCCCCCCAACCCCACCCGGCCCCTCTGGCCCTGGACAAACACACAGTGCTGACCTGTGACCCATAATGCAGAGACGCAATGCCAAGTCACTTTGCAGGATCTGTTAAAGAGGCCACAGCAGTGAAGACATCCACACTGTCCTTTGGACTACAGCGTTGTATGCTGACAGCTGTCTGTTAATATTTTCCCTTTGCCAGACTTCTTCTTCTTCCCACAGACTAATTGGCATATATCAAATGAGAAGCCAATTGCAGAATTATGGTAATGTCATTTAGGATGGTCAGTGAGGCAGTTTCTACATTTAATGTGCTTAGGAAGCTGCGGCTTTGAAGGGAGATATCTGTTCAAAGATTCTGCCCAAGCACCTGGGCTCTGTTGGCAGCGGGAAAGACACAGCACCACACTGATATAGCCTTAAGTGACAGCATGGGCTTCTCATTTTCCCCCAGACATCCTCAGTGTCTGGTGTGCGGATCTTATGACAGAGCCACTGGGATGAGCGGGCGCGTCTTAAATGAGTGGGATGTTTGACGCAGAAGATGACAGTAGGGGAGCTGTGATCAATCCAGTGCAATCAACCACCACCAACGGCAATGATTACTCAGTCGTTAAACATAGGAATGGATCGATTGTTAACATGCGCAGATGTCCAGAGCTGGGATACCTTAAGGTCCGTCTGCACCGGTTGCTATTTGTGTAAAATACCTGTTATTTTTCCAACGGGCTAAACACAGAGTCTGCATCTGGAATCATTTGTTTGCTTTAAGTTAAAGTGGTTTCCTTTCTTCAGGTAGCTAAAGTGTAATCATTCTGGGAAAAGACATTTTTTCCCACCAGAAAAAGCATTAGCTAATTGTCTTTTTTTTCTAATTGAACCCTCCCAGCAGTGACACTCTTGGCACACAATATAGACCTACAAGAATACAAAACCTCAGTTATCTCACTGAGAATTACATCATTCTGTTCTTCTCCTAGCTGAAACCTATATGTATCCTCTTCTGTCTGTCCATATCTACATACATTTAACTGTGCCGGCGATTCAAGTATCGCGTAACGGATTATTGAAATCATTTGAACATGAATGGAGTGGCTATTTCTGTCCTTTAAATATTGATGCTTATTGTGCCAGCGAGCAGTGTAAGCTTCTGGCTTCAGTTGTAACTGTGAAGTGGCCAGGGATTTCTGCTTGACTGATTTTTGGATTTGCAAAGCAAGGCGACAGAAGGGCACCCACTTGGAAGAATTACTGGAGTCCGATGTTTGTAGAAACCCAAAAAACGTTAGGGTGCTTTTAATAGCCCTAATTTTAAAAAAAAATGCGAAATTCACTACATCTCACAATCTTCTTGAAGATTTCTAAGAGTTTTTGCTGATGATATCTTAAAATTATTATTTTTTAAATCAGTTATGTATTATATTACAGTACTGTTACATTTAGCAGTAATCAAACACCCCCAAATGACCTTCTTCAATTGTCTTTGCTAGCTGTGGCTACAATGACTTTTTGACAGGGAAAGTATCTCTTGCCCTTCTCACTAGCTCCTTCTTTGGCCTATTCATTGCACAAAGCTGCTTAAGCACACTTAAGCGCATTAGCATTTGGCTGCCAGGGGACCATATTGACCCTGCATTTGGAAGGCCTAAATGAGTGAAAGATGGAGCGATTTGTTAGGGCTTTAGAAAGTTGCTTTTGGGGGAGTGGGGGTAAGCATGAAGGAATGGGGCTGAGGCGGTGGAAGGGGGGTTCGAGGAGTTGTTCCACTTTCTCTCAGGGCATGGTGTTTGTTCTAATCTGGTGTGCCATTTCTTCATGGCCGAAGCAGGACTGATTTGTGACATTTCGGTCTAAAGGGCCTTTTTCTGCTCGCTATATTGGCTTGACCCGATTATCAGATCTGTGCTTTGAATTTGAATCAGGTCACTGGCTCTCTGCTGTGTGGTATGGGAACCACTGGCTAAGGGATTTCCTCATTCAACTGTCTTCAAACACAGATGGCCGAATGTTTAACTAATTGTTAAGAGAGTCCACAAAGAAGAATTTAACCATGCACACAGTCCATGGGGTCAGTACATAGACCCAGATAAAGAGAGGGGACAGTGAGGTGGCTGTTTGTGGGTTGGCTCTTTATAAGTCATTCAAATACACCACAGTGTTTAACGAATGGTGTTGAGGTATACTGAGAAACTAGTGTATGCTGTATATTAACGTGCCAGTAACTGTAAACTAGAAATTATATCATAGATGGTTTGCATGTTAGTGACATCAAATGAATAAACATTCCAATAATCCTCTATCCTGTTGCTTTCTTATGTCCAGAAACTCTGCTCTGATGCCACCATGCAGACAATCAGAACCGACAACAATGAAATTCACAAGCTAGTATTTCAAGAAACTGATAATGACCGAAAGGTGAGTTCTTCTGCTTTGAAGCATCATTTCATCAACGCTTACAAAAAAAAACAAACCCAACCAAAAAAACAAATACAGTCCTTTTGTGGGACTGTGTATTCACTGACTAACCCAGGGGTGGGCAATCTCAGTCCACGAGGGCCGGTGTCCCTGCAGGTTTTAGATGTGTCCTCGAACCAACACAGCTGATTTAAATGGCTAAATTAGCTCCTCAACATGTCCTGAAGTTCTCCAGAGGCCTGGTAACGAACTAATCATGTGATTCAGGTGTGTTGACCCAAGGTGAGATCTAAAACCTGCAGGGACATCGGCCCTCGTGGACTGAGATTGCCCACCCCTGGACTAACCCAATGTAGGCTGGTCCAATCCTTCCACCCACAGGGGGCGACACCTCCATTTGCACAAAGTCAGATTGTATGAAACTCTGTCGATGAACTACGTAGACACTGTCCTGATGAGTTTATGGTCTCATTCTTTAGTTTAAAGTCTTACTGGTATGACATGATGTTCATTATTTCATAGCAGGTTATGGTTTAGGGCGAGCCTACCTCGTGATCCAGTTCTAAAACACCAAGTTGTTACGGGCCTAAATATTCAGTTCAGGAGATGTCAACGTCACCGTGTCCATCATTTATATACAGTCTACTGTTGGAAGCAGGTATATGATAAGGATTAAATGTAATCATAGCCAAGACATTACAGTGTTTGCTGTTTTAAAGGTCAAGACTGTGAGACTGCTCACTGTTGGTCAGTGTGTCAAACTTCATTGCTTTTATCCTACTGATATTAAGGTATTAATATAGGTCTAACCCTTTTGTTAGTAAGTAAATGACAATATTCGAATACCATATTTAATGTAAAAAATTGTAGGTGTTGACCTGTGTAATGAAACTTCAAATACTGCTTATTTTCTGCTTTGATACACCTGACCTCGAGGTGCCAAGGTCAGTGTAAAGCCTCGATGAGACACGTGTAGAGATAACAGTGCTGTCTGCTGCTGCAGCTCAATGCTGTTCATTAGTTCTCTAATTACTGAGTGAAGTTCACATTAGTATTGCTATTAATCAGAGTGCAATTTCTCTCTTTCCACTGATTCAGGTTATTCTTCAAATTGAAAAGAAGCTTTTTAATTATGTCAACCAGGAAGTATTCCGGGAAGACAATGGGACCTCAGTAAGTCACTCCTTTAACTTTTATATAATCATCTACTTTCTCACCTCTCATCTTATCTATTACGAGTTTAATTTCCTTGATCAACTGTCATATACATTCTTTTTTCACTGTGTAATGACCGCCACTGACTGACTGTGAAATCAACAAAGCAAAAGAACAAGTTCAAAATGACTCCTCATGTCTGCACAGTAGCACAGAAAGGTTAAAATAATTAGGTTGCAGCTAAGGGCATCTGCACCTGAGTGGTGCAGATGCCCTCACATACCTAACAAACAAACAATCTTTTTCCCCAGTCAAGAGGCCAAATGTAGGGAATAACTTTTAAGCAGCACTCAGTGCAGACGAGACGTGTTCAGCGTCTGCAGAAGAAAAACAGCAGAGGAACGCACTTCCACTTTTATATGGTTGTATATTACATTAAGTAGTTCAAAGTTGGACCTTGTTAAAAAACATGAATGACAAACACACACACACACACACACAGCAGAATTGGCAGTGAAGCGGCAGAGTTTATTAACCTTGTTAAGTTAAAGTTTTGGGTAATAAATCAGCGTTATCATTTATGAACTTGCACTGGGTTTGTATCACAAGGACAGTGTGGTTTAATGTGAGCTCGTTATTACTGCTAATTCAATTCATGCCTTTTTAAGTGAAGTTGTATGATTTTGCACATGTCTCTTGTCACATTGAGAAATATATATATTTTTAAATCCATGTAATTATATTGATTTTCTTGGGCCGTCCGGGGTTTATTCATATGCCGCATGATAATGTTGATTTTCCTGCTCTGTGCGTTTATAAGTCACGTGACGTGCATCTCACTGAGCTGAAAAAAAGCGCCCACTTGATTTTCCATTAGCCGTGTTTGCGTGTCAATAAATTAAATGAAGCCACTGAATATTTTCAATTGTTTAGAGTGGCCTAACGCAGCCAAACAGATGGTTCAAAGTAAGCTGGCATATTTTGGAATTGGAATTGTGGGGAAAAAAAGTATTTTCAGTTACTTTCCTTAACTTCCAAAATGTACTGAGTTCAGCATTATCTTTTATGTGACATTTGTTTGGCTTCAAGCAAGCTCAGTGCCTCCAAAACACGTGTCCTTCTTTTTTTCTTCTTTCTTCTTCAACTGCTGAGATACAGTATATCCTATTGTGGACTTATTTTAAGCGTTTTTACTGTAAATGCATATTAAGGTAGCCAAATAATCCAGAAACTAGAAAATAAACATTCTTGCTTATAAGGTAAAATGTAGAAGACTGCGAGTCTTCAGTAAGGAAAGTCGATGTGGATGTCTGCTTGCATGCTGTCCAGTAAAGCATGATTGAATCTGACCAGCAGAAATGTCCCCTAACTGCGAAACAGTAGCTGTGGGGAGGCTGAGGTACCCCACCCTCCCTTCACCTTCATTTCCTTCTCCCTTCCTCCCTTTCTCTCTGCCTCCTCACCAAGCCAGACAAGATGGATGACATAATGGGGGCATCAGAGATAATCTGATGGTCATGGTCTAGTTAAACACACCGTGTTATGATCCTTATAAAACAAACTACCTTTCCAAAAGGATAAATGTCCCTGCTTACACTCCTCCACTGGGGAAGGGGGGGAAAGAAAAAAAAATCCATTGCATCCTTCATCAACTGCAAGACTTGTACCAGCTTGACAGAAATTTAATTCGAGGCAGCTCTTGAAAATAATTATTGTATTTTGAGAGGAGTAATCATTGGCCGGGACATGATTGAATGTGTCCATGCCTATTGACTTTTGCTATGATTAATAGGTTTGTTTAGTCGATATTCCCATCGAAATTGTATAATTAATTATCCCCGGCGCTGTCACGGCAGGACGATGGAGAGCCCTGATGAGTATTTGGGAAGATTAAATTTTCTGGGCGCTCATGGCGTCAAGGGGCACCATGGGGCCTTGCTCCGGTGGAAAGATGGGAGGAGCGTGGTGTGTGTGTTTGTGAGGCTGTGCAAGCATCCATGGTGCACGCTCGTGCAGTTTCTGCCTTTCCTGGAAGACACGCACAAACACACACAGGGCAAGTCTCCCTCCTCCACTCCCATTGATTTTGTTTCAGTATCTCTTTATTGTAACTTTATCAGCGTGTGTCGGCAGATTGGGGGGGGACCAGGAGAGGGGAGGAGGGTGCGTTTGTGTACTAGCTTTAGCAAGTGATGAACCTTTCTGTCTGGCGTGCCTCTCCTTGTCATGCTGGCAGCGTAGTCTTCAGCATTACTCAAAAGCCCGGAGACATTTTAAACATGAGAGGGACATAAAAAAAACCCCCTAAAGAACAAATGCTGCCTCAGCCCGAAGTTCTTTCATATTTCACCTGTCAGAGCGCTTAAGTGGCAATACAGAAGCCATGCTAAATGAAATCTGACCTTTATATAAATTGATGCTACAATGAGTATTTCTTTTAATTTAACTCGCCTTTCTTCTGAACGCTTTAGGAAAGTATTGACGGCTTACTTAGGCTTATCAGAATATATGGCTCTAAGAGACAGTGGGCCCAAGCTGCCGTTGAATTTTTTTACGTTTTTTATTTTTTATTTTATTTTATCAGAATAATTGTGAAGTTAAATCCAGCCTTGGTCGGCCCATCTCAGCTCCCAATCAGCCATCCCCGGCCGGCGTCGCTGACGGTTTATCGGTTTTCTGCACAAAATAATGAAGATCCCATAAAAAAAGCGGGGAAAATACAGCCCCTGCAATGAAAGCCAAGTGTGAGGTGTAAAAATCAAATTAAATGACCTTTCACCCCAACATTTATTGATGAGTTTTAACAGCAGCAGGTGTTGTCACGGGGGATATTTGACGATGCGTAAATCAAAGCACAATTACAGTTGGTGGATGAGCGGGCAGCATGCTGAGAGGAACACTCGGAGGCCCAAGATGCCCTTTCCCCCTCTTTGTACCCCTCTCGGCTTCCTGCCTCTTAGCTATCAACGCCAGTCTGATTTAGGAGCGCGGCGATTATCCAAGCACAGTCAGAAATTTGAGCCCATGACAAGGTAGTTTTTATCCGGACACTTCTTCATCTTTTCCCCCTCCTTAGCATTGCCAGAGTGGCATCATCTCACGCCACCTCCTCCACAACTCCCACAAGGTCATTTCTGGTTTACAAACTACTGCTGGCTTTATAATGTCACGAGGCCTTGAACTGATATCAGATGCTTTCTTCTTCTTCTTCTTCTGCTTCTTTTTTTAAAGCACTGACCTAACACAGCACCAGAGCATTCTGCTTAATTGACCCGGGATGAAATGTAGTGTGAAATTTGTGACTGCAGGGTTTTCCATTCACCTGGGTGAATTACTCAACATTCACTTAAGGCACACGAACACACACACACTACTTGAATACACACAGCCATATGTTGCTTATCCCCTGTTATTTAAACTGTCACACTCTATCAGTCTGAGCTGCTTTACCTCAAACATTATCACACCTGTGAATGCACAGATACTTCGCACTATAACTCACAATACTGTCACTATATGTTTCCTGCAATAACAGCGATACACAAAACTTTCTGAAATACATCAAGATGTTTAACAGAGGAAGCAAAATAGCCTTAAAGGGAAAAAATATGGGATATATGTTGTGTGCATATTTTCTTTTTTTCTTTTCAATAGTGTGCCTCTTCAGTCACACATTCACAGTTCACATACAAGGTCTTGAATAATCAGGCCCCGCCTTGTCTTAAAAACCTTATAATAACGTATCATCCCAATAGAGCACTTCACTCTCAGACTGCTGACTTACTTGTTGGGCTTAGGACAGTAAAAGGGCAGAGAGAGCCTTTAACTTCCAAGTTTCTCTTCCCTGGAACCAGCTTCCAGTTTGGATTCAGGAAACAGACACCCTCTCCCCTAACCGGTCGCAGCAGATGGCTGCCCCTCCCTGAGCCTGGTTCTGCAGGAGGTTTCTTCCTGCTAAAAGGGAGTTTTTCCTTCCCGCAGTCGTCTGATTATTTGGGTTTTCTTTCTGTTGGATGTTTGTCTTATAATATAAAGCACCTTGAGGTGACTGTTGTTGTTATTTGTCACTATATATATAACTATGTTGTCAATAGAGATCAATTCTAATAAATATTAGCGTCTAAACGCTAGTTTAACGCTACAGAGTTATTCTACTCTAAACTTTGAGGGAAGACACTGAAACAAATACCAGAGGGACTGAGGAAAACTGTTGACTGATACAAGATGTGCTAAATTCATTGGAGGCTTATACCCACCTTATATAACACTCATACAGAGGCTTCAAAACAGTGATTGAGTATTCCAACGCTCTCTGTTACACCAGTATGAGAATCTAATGCTAAATATACATTGGTTCACTTATCTTTACAACATCTTTTTTAATCTCTCAATTAGTAGTAATGCTTTCGATCAGCCTGAAGAGCCCCGTATTGGTCAGATGTGAAAAAAACAGCACTGAAAGAAGCCATCAGTGGCTGGATGGTGAGATGGTTGTGTACAGTGGAGCGTGGGGTTGCATCCCCTGCTCTGCCATCCCTCATCCACAGTGTGTGAGTCTCTCCTGTGACCCCGGCAGTGTGAGTTTGATGAATGCAGCACATCTGCCCTCCTGAACCGCTGAGACTCTGTCTGCGAGGCCCCCTCTGCCTCAAGTAATGGCCACTGTTCTACACCACTGACACGTAATCACACAAACACTGCAGAGCATCATCGTGAAGGAACACACCGACGGGCTTATTTATTTATTTTTTGTGTAAGTGCGTACTCAGCGTTGATGTGAAGACAACGCGTAGACGGTTATACACGTATGTATAAATATGTCAGCGCACACGGAGAACAGCAGTTACCTTCTTCTAATATCATAACGCCGACATGACACCGTCTCCACTTTGCGAGGACGTCCTTCCAAATAACAGCGATGACGTGGTGCTCATGGGTAATATTTGGATATTTCATCGTGTAGCCATCAACATATTGCTGCATGTAATACACCGACGTAATGTCATTAATGTTAAGCTGTCACACTCATACTATTGCGGGTGATGTCTTCATCGGGCCATCATTGTAGCATGGTGTTTGAAACGTGTACAATAGCCTAATTTACTACTAAACAAACACGACTTGCCTCCGTCTGCACGTCTTCCTGTTTGAAAGGAAAGGGCGGGACCTGCGAGCGGTCCTGCGGGAGGGTGTTGCTGGGAAACGTCGCTGTCAGTCTCTCAGGAAGGCAGTCATGCAGGTGCCCTAGCTACCTGTTCATCTCGCAGATAATTAATGTGTACAAGGAGCCGCTAATTGCACTTTTCACTAATGATTTATGGGTTTTGTGAAAGGGGGGAAATTGGGGGAAGTGTGTGTGTACACTCTAGTGAGTGAGTACAGCTGGGTGAGGAGACATGATTGATGAAGAGTGTGTGGATGCACTGTCAGTGTGGAAAGTTATACCCCCCCACCCCTGTAGGAAAGGGCTAGTGACACACACACACACACACACACACACACACACACACACACACACACACACACACACACACACACACACACACACACTGGTCAGCTGCTGTCGATATCTGCCAGCATGGGGTATGTGGACTTCATTGAATAAGGCCAAAGATGTGAGCCTCATTCTCCGTCTTTATCACCTTGTGTTGGTTTTCTTGAGAGACTTGCTTTTTTGTACATTGTATATCATGTAAATCTTGCATTTGACAAAGACTTTGTTGCATTTTTAATATGATTTGAATATGATCTGCTACCTTGTCCACGTCTCCCCTCTGGCTTATTCAGTTCAGTTCAGTTCAGTTTTATTTATATAGCACAGAATCACAACAGCCACCTCAAGGTGCTTTTTTCTTATAAGGAAAAGAGGTAAAGTAAAAACTCCCACAATTAGATGACCCTGTATGAGCAAGCGCTTGGAAAAAGTGGGGAGAAAAAACTCCCTTTTAACAGGAAGATACCCCCATACTTTCCTTCAACAGTAGTAGGGTTCAGTCATTATCAGAAATCAAATTAAAGTCAGTCCAAAGACATGCATGATGTCTTATCATGTGTCTGTTTGTTGGATCCATATTTTAATATAAACTTTGATCTGGTCAGTTTTTGAGATAAGAAGATATTTTTGAGAGCAGCTTTTTGATTAATACCCCATCAGTGAGAAAATAACTGAAATGGTATATGTAGTTGTTTTATTGATGCCTCTGTCTTTTTGTTTTGCTTTCCACAGCTTTTAGAGTTTGATAAAGAGCTGTCAGTGTTCAAAGAACGTCTGCATGAACAAGAGATCGGTTTCCCGCCAAGGTATGGAGCCATTACATGTATTACACAATGGTTTGTTTGATGCATTTATGTTTACAGTACAGAGATCTACCCGTGTAGAGCCACACAGGTTATGTGGCTCTTTATCCAGCTCATTGACAGTTTGTGAATGTATGGTAAACCCTGGACGCTAACCAAAAACTGAAATTAAATGCCACTATAATTGTAACTGGGTCAAAATGACCTGTTGAGAATTGACAAGAAAACAGCCCTTGGTTCGTCAGCAGCACAGAGGAAGTTATTTCGATCTAACTTTCACTTTGTGAGAAAATTCTTATCTCATTATTATTCAAAGCTTCTTGAAAAAAATCAGGACTCAAAGAACTGGTTATAAATAAACAGACGAAGTAAACGCTTACTAGACTGTGGAACCCCCCAAAATATCTTTTTCTAATGTGCTACAAAATCTCTTAGAGGTTTTACCTGGTTTGTTTGTAATTTAAAAGAAAAATTATCAAAATAAAGAGGTATCGATTTATCCTTCAGTGTATCTGAAAAAATTCCAAACTTCACAAGCAAAAAAGAAAAGTGCTAAAAGAGCGAATCCTGAGGTTTAAGTTCTTACATTTCGATAAATGCAACGATTATGCTGCTCAGATATGCGCCTTAAAGACTCGTTATTAATATGTAAAATTATAAGTAGCCAATCACGCGCTTATTGTCCAAAACGGTTTAATGAATGCTGCTGGATGTGTGTTTGATTGGTATCAGTTGTTAAGTCTGATTGCGTACGTTTCCAAAAAGCTCCCATGTGTCTCTGCTGGTACGTCCGTGTGTGTGTGTGTGTGTGTGTGTGTGTGTGTGTGTGTCGCTGTACGAACACTATGGACAGCATTGATAATTCCGTCTCACTGGGACTTGGGGGAGATTGGAGCGGGTGTTCTCCTCTCCTCTTCCTCAAACAAATGCATTTGCAATTAGCCCTTTCAGAGGAGAGGGAGGGCAAACATGCGGACGGCGCGGAAATATGTTTCGGGAGCAGCGCGTTAATGGCGCTTGACCTTTGCCGTCGGTTGTGACTCAATCAGCGCAGATAATGAAACGCTGTAATCAAACAATAATTACTTGATAAACTGCTCTGGTGGCAGGCGCAGGGCGGCTGGGGATTTTAGCATGTGTGTGTGTGTGTGTGTGTGTGTGTGTGTGTGTGTGTGTGTGTGTGTGTGTGTGTGTGTGTGT